CTGTTTATATCCCTCCTTGCCCGTGTATTTCTCTGCCACTGAGCACAAACAACCCAAAGCCTCCTTGATGTTATAGCCAAAGTTGTCCTTATCCAGCTTATGGTTTTCAGGGCAACCTAGAAGCAGTGCAAGGAGATCAGATGGATGCTGATTTTATGGCAAGTCTCAAGGCTTTATTAGACTCTCAGCCACTATCCCACGCTAGATTCCTGAGCTCTAAAAGCCTGAAACAAAAGCTATTTATCCACACAAGGGTTGAGTAAGTCTACTGAATCATATTCAGGGGGGTGGGTTGAAAGTTTTGCACCACAATAGCCACACCCAGGAGTTTGGGAGAATGCAGCTCTTGCAGAATAACTGACTGACATCAAACAGTGTGTTTATGCCTCTCTCTTTTTCTTTTGATTGCCCAACATGGTTTGGTATAGCCGGCCCTATCATTAGGCAGAAGGAGGTGCAGTAGGAGATGGCATGGTGGGGCACCACCACTTGCCTGACCTCCCATCATAAGAACATAAGAAGAGATTGCTGGATCAGGCCGGTGGCCCATCTAGTCCAGCATCCTGTTCTCGCAATGGCTGACCAGATGGCTGTGGGAAAACTGCAAGAATTCGAAACTGGCATTCAGAATCATTGCTTCCACCACCTGTAGAGGCAGATACAGCCATAGCATAACAGAGGACGCCACTGAAATTTGAGGTGCCAACGTTCACCACTAAACCGTTTAAAGCCCTAAACGGCCTCGGTCCAGTATATATGAAGGAGCGTCTCCACCCCCATCGTTCTACCCAGACACTGAGGTCCAGCACCGAGGGCCTTCTGGCGGTTCCCTCACTGCGAGAAGCCAAGTTACAGGGTACCAGGCAGAGGGCTTTCTTGGTAGTGGCGCCCTCCCTGTGGAATGCCCTCCCACCAGATATCAAAGAGAACAACAACTACCAGACCTTTAGAAGACATCTGAAGGCAGCCCTGTTTAGGGAACCTTTTAATGTTTGATGTATTACAGTGTTTTAATATTTTGGGGGGGAAGCCGCCCAGAGTGGCTGGGGAAGCCCAGCCAGATGGGCGGGGTATAAATAATAAGTTGTTGTTGTTGTTGTTATTACCACCACCACTGCCTAGGGCACATTTCATTGAAAATGTATTTATTGCACCCTTCTTCCGAGGAGCTCATGGTGACACACATAATGATCCTTCTTCCCATTTTATGCTCACAACAACCCTGTGAGCCTGATAGGCAGTGACTGGCCCCCAAGGGTCACCCATTGAGCTTCATGACCAAGTGGGGGATTTGAACCCTGGTCTCTCCCAAGTCTTAGTCTGGTTCTCTAACCACTACACCACACTGGCTCTAGGCAGCTCACACAGCTATATGTTGCCTGAAACCAGTAAAATGAAAACACCGGAATGGGTTTAGACCTCTGCCTCTCTGACTTAAAAATAAAACACTAAACTTTCCTCACCACCTATAGTTAGCTCTTTGCCCTCTGAGGCCTTCCTTCAGCCTCCTCACAAAAATGTCAAGGTTTCATGCCAACTCCTGAGGCTTCAAAAGACCCCTTTGTATTTGTTCATTTTATTCACATATAAACTTTGTGTAAAAAAAAATATAAAAAAATACCATGCTTGTATGTGTCATTCTCGGGGGGGGGGGGAGGGAGCGAAGGAACTTGGGTTATAGGCCTCTCTCATTTCTGCAAAGGAGTGTGCCAAAAGAATTGTGTCACTCACGAAAAGCCAGGTCTTGTTTCCACTCCCAACTCTAGAAATGAAGGATAAATTTGATTCCATTCACATTTGAAGGCAAACCTGCAGAATTCACACTTAACGAAACAATAAACGATACACAGCTGTCCTTTGAAATTTGTACTTCTCCGAATTTTGAGATGCCGTTCTCCAGCCTAGGAACATGTACAAAGATGTAGATATGCATTTTCCTCTTGCATTACTTCTACTAAAAAGAAGAGATTATGTCTGGTCCAGGCATCCCCAGCCCCATGGAAATAAATAGCTCAATGGACTCACACTGTGAAGCAATATTGGCTTTCTTTATTATTTCTTTATAGAATTGATACCCCCACCTTTTCCTTCAATGAGCTCAGGGTGCCATGCAAGGTTTCCCCCCTCCTAATTTAATCCGCACAACCACCATAGGTTTGTGGATTAGGCTGAGGCGAAGTGACTGGCCCAAGATCACACCCAGTGAGCTTCGTGGCTAATTCATAAAATCATAGAATTGTAGAGTTGGAAGAGACCCAGAGGGTCATTTAGTCGAGCCCCCTGCATTGCAGGAATCTCAACTGGAAGCATCCATGACAGCTGGCCACCCAACCTCTGCTTAAAAACCTCCAAGGAAGGAGAATCCACCACCTCTCATGGGAGTTTGTTCCACTGTTGAACAGCTCTTACTGTCAGAAAATTCTTCCTGATGTTTAGTCGGAATCTCCTTTCTTGTAGTTTGAATCCATTGGTACAGGTCCTACCTCCCAGAGCAGGAGAAAACAAGCTTGCTTCATCTTTTGACAGCCCTATAGATAATCAGCCCTGAGTGCTCACTGGAAGGACAGATCCTGAAGCTGAGGCTCCAATACTTTGGCCACCTCATGAGAAGAGAAGACTCCCTGGAAAAGACCCTGATGTTGGGAAAGATGGAGGGCACAAGGAGACAGGGACGACAGAGGACGACATGGTTGAATAGTGTTCTTGAAGCTACCAGCATGAGTTTGACCAAACTGCAGGAGGCAGTGGAAGACAGGAGTGCCTGGCGTGCCTTGGTCCATGGGGTCATGAAGAGTCGGACACGACTAAATGACTAAACAACAACAACAACATAGATATTTGAAGATGGCTCTCATATCTCCTCTAGGTCTCCTCTTTTCCAGGCTAAACATACCCAGCTCCTTCAACCATTCTTATAAGGCTTGGTTTCTTGAAGGCTTTTTTTATGTTCTTATGGGAATTCAAACCCCTGGTCTCCAAGGTACTCTAACTATTATACCTCACTATTTACACAAGTGGAACTGCTGTGACACCCCCCCCCCAAAAAAATATATATCCTGAAAACTGCATTCTTATGATGAGTTTGCAAATTCTGCTGGAAATCTCTTGCTCCTGCAATCTCCCAACTACAGTTCCCAAGAAGAGGACAACGATTCCTCAATCAGCTTAAATCTGTGCTGTAGATATCCCCAACGAGAAGAAACTGCTAAAGACGAAATGTGTGTCTGACCTCACAGGAAAAAAGTGTGAGTTTGTGAGCCTATGGAGAGAAGCAGCCTACGATGCCTGCAGTCTCCACCCTGATTGTTCGAGTGAGCACCTCCATCTCTGCAGCAGGCGTGACTTTGGGGGAAGGCCAACCATATGTATGTATGTTTCCATTCGCTCAGGGAGAGCGGCTCTTGGGTTTAGTCCCAGGCACCTCTAGAGGGCTGGTGCTAGGAGGGCGGCAGCTGCAGCGAGAGAGTAATGATGCTCATATATCACCTGGATGTCAGCACCAACCTGGGCAAAGGGCGGCAGCTCAGTGTCGCAGCTGCTTGCGCCTGCCTGAGCAGCAGCGAATGATGCTGTTGAAGGACTCAGCTCTGGAGAGAGAGAGAGAGGTCGAGAGGTCTGAAAGGTCTAAGGCAGGGTTGGCAAACTTCTGTAGTCGGAGAGGTCAAGTCATTCTCTTGGCAGCTGCTGAGCAAAAGGAAGGATGTTCTCCCCTACAAACCGAATACCCCTCACAAGTCATAAGAATATGAGAAGAGCCTGCTGGATTAGGCCAACGGCCCATCTCGTCCAGCATCCTGTTCTCCCTGTGGCCAGGTAATGTCTGTGGGGAACCCACAAGCAGGATTCGAACACAAGAGCCCTCTCTTCTCCTGTGGCCTCGGAAACACTCCTGCCTCCAGCTGGGGCGGCAGGACATAGCCATCAATAGCCCTCTCCTCCAAGCAATGTTGTCATGTTCTGTGACATTGCTACAACTCTCTAGCAGGACTGCCAGGGTTTCTCGAGTTTCTCATATTTCTTGGGAAACACTGGGTTAGGCCACCAGGAGCTTTGTGGGAGAGGGTGCCACGAGTTCACTACTGCTGGGGTAAAAGACTCATTCCCTTTGCTCACTCGTGCTTTTTTCCAAAACAACAAAACAGAGCTGAGGGGATCTCCTCAAATGAAGAAGAGTCTGATTAGGGGAGTTTAGGATTTCATCACCGTTGTGCAGCAACCACATTCTTGTGCACTGCCCTCGAATTCTGCGGTCAGACTCAGTTAAGAAATGATCCCAGCTGGTTGAGAAATCTGGGTTTTTCCACCTCCCTCGTTCTTTGATTGGAAATTGGGAATGGTGATGGAAAGGGTGAAGAGGAAATCTCACAGCTGCAACACAGAGTCAGCAAATGCATCTGATTCATCACTTGGGCTGCATCGAGCTAGGTGGGGTCTTGGAAGTTAAAAGGCTCCCTAGTCCAGATCTGCATTTTATCTATAGGTATATCTGGCAGATAAGGGACGTGGGTGGCGCTGTGGGTTAAACAACAGAGCCTAGGACTTGCCGATCAGATGGTCGGTGGTTCGAATCCCTGCAACAGGGTGAGCTCCTGTTGCTCAGTCCCTGCTCCTGCCAACCTAGCAGTTCAAAAGCACGTCAAAGTGCAAGTAGATAAATAGGTACCACTCTGGCAGGAAGGTGAACGGCGTTTCCGTGCACTGCTCTGGTTCGCCAGAAGCGGCTTAGTCATGCTGGCCACATGACCCAGAAGCTGTACGCCGGCTCCCTCGGCCAATAAAGCGAGATGAGCGCCACAACCCCAGAGTCGGTCATGACTGGACCTAATGGTCAGGGGTCCCTTTATCTTTACCTACGGTATATCTGGCAGATATAAATGCCATGCATGGACAAAGCAACCATGTCTGGATCTCAGGAAGCTGCTACTGACCCATTTAACTTAATATTGTTTGCACTGACTGGCAGCATCTCTCCGGGGCTTCTAGCCTTCTGCAGGGCTACCTGAAGATACCAGGAATTAAGCCTGGGGTCTTCTACATGCAAAGTAAATGCTCTACAACTGAGCTAAATCGATGCTGAAAGTGGGGGAAGACATGTTTAAAATTTGGGAGACGTCTGTTTTGGGGGTTCTGAATTAAAAAGAGAAGGAGAACCATCTCACCCCTGTTCTGTATAGGATCAGCTCTTGAGGCAGGCGTATGGAGTGCTGCTTTTGACTCCTGGAAAGTTGGAGCATCTTGGGATTGTGGAAGCCCTATCAGATTCTAGGTGGAGCCTATGTCACAACTCGGGAACAAGAGAGAAAATCTGTTTGTTTCTCACAGGAGCAATACAGGAACTGAAGCACAACTATCCATCTAAATTCAGGCACCTCCAGATTTTGTGATGCATTTATCACACCCCAAAATGCGTACATGAATGCATATATTAGGGGTGTGTGGCAATAATGTACGACAATGCATTATGGGGAAAATATTTGTGGCTATAACGAACAAGAATGCATTTTACTAGGGGAAATTGCTTGCAAAACAAAAATTAAAAAATGTGTCTATTAGGAGAAAGCCCCACTACAATGTTGCTAAAGTTCTGTAAGGATTTATTAGAAAATGTATCACAAACAGTAGTGATATATGGAAGTGAGAGCTGGACCATAAAGAAGGCTGATCGCCGAAGAATTGATGCTTTTGAATTATGGTGCTGGAGGAGACTCTTGAGAGTCCCATGGGCTGCAAGAAGATCAAACTTATCCATTCTTAAGGAAATCAGCCCTGAGTGCTCACTGGAAGGACAGATCATGAAGCTGAAGCGCCAGTACTTTGGCCACCTCATGAGAAGAGAAGACTCCCTGGAAAAGACCCTGATGTTGGGAAAGATGGAGGGCACAAGGAGAAGGAGACGACAGAGGACGAGATGGTTGGATGGTGTTCTCGAAGCTACCAGCATGAGTTTGACCAAACTGCAGGAGACAGTGGAGGACAGAAGTGCCTGGCGTGCTCTGGTCCATGGGGTCACGAAGAGTCGGACACGACTAAATGACGAAACAACAAATCACAAACTGATGTGGAAATGTGACAACCAAGACTGGAAAAATGAGAAAGTAAGTGAAAATGACATTGAAAGATTTGTCAAATCCCACCGAGTGCCCCCATAAAAATTTAACCCAGTATTTGGGCACCCATTTTATCTTGATGACATTTCCTAAGGCTAATTGCATCTGGGGCATGTTGAAAGTAGGTGGCAGTTGCCTTTAAGGAGATCAAAGAGCAGTCAGCTCTTCGCCTAGCAACCATAAATGACTGGCCTCCGCCCAGTATACCTGAAGGAGCATCTCCACCCCCATTGTTCACCCCGGACACTGAGGACCAGCTCCGAGGGCCTTCTGGCGGTTCCCTCACTGTGAGATGTGAGGGAACCATGCAGAGGGCCTTCTTGGTGGTGGCACCTGCCCTGTAGAACTCCCTCCCACCATATGTCAAGGAAATAAACAACTTTCTGACTTTTAGAAGACATTTGAAGGCAGCCCTGTTTAGGGAAGTTTGTAATGTTTGATGCTTTATTCTGTTTTTAATCTGTTGGGAGCTGCCCAGAGTGGCTGGGGAAACCCAGCTGGATGGGCGGGGTATAATATAAATAAATTAATTAGTAGTAGTATTAGTAGTAGTAGTAGTAGTATTAATATTATTTAGAAAGGGCACAGTTCAGTGGTCACAGCCATACACAGGGGTTCCATTGCAGACACACAAAGCTCCATCCACTCAGAGCTTCTCCATCCTCTCTGGTTCTACATAGGGACAAGATAACTCAGGAAGCCCAAACTAGAATATGCACCAGATAAGGGCCCTGAGCATTGTAGAGGAATAGGAAGCCTTGGGAATGTGGGGCTCTGAATGCAGAGCTTAGAACATGACCATGGGCATGCAGATTCCATGATTCAGTTTTCATGCTTTTCTTGAGATTATCAGTAAAAGTCCGAGTTAAAAACAAGCACCCTTATAATCAGTAGTTTGGAAATAAACTAAAATCACAAGTAAAGAAATGGAAATGACCAGTTAAAATGCACAGCAACTTTGGGCTTGCCTAAACAGAAAAGTTTTTAGTAGGCACCTGGAACTGTACAGCGATGGCACCTGCCTGAAATCATTGGGCAGGGAGTTCCAGAGAATAAATGCCTTCACACGGAAAAACTGATTCGTCAACAAGTGTGGAATGGACATCATGTGGCACGTGTGAAATTGCCAATTCTGAAGAGTCAAGCGGTTACACTTTAGGCATTTTAACACGGTCGTGAAAACTTTCCAAAAATTTGAAACCTATCTCCTGCTCAGAGGGATGGGCACTTTGCACATGCTCAGAGGAATGCAGTTAGGGGTCTCCAGCTCTTTTTTAAAAAATAAAATAAAATAAGAACAACATTAGGCAAGGGGAACTTGGCTTCAAAGGGCCCACCTTCCCAGTTATTCTTCCCCAGCCTGACTGTGATGTTGCCATGGTAACAAACAGAGAGGTGTCAGGGAAAAAAAACAACCCCAGGAGACAGGAGGGGCTGTGTTTTGACATGATATGCCCCATAATATGCCCCCTGGGCTAAAAAGCACATTATGAGGCCTTATTAGACCCTAATTCAATCTTATACCTCCCCCTCCGCCCGCCTTTTCTCCAACCTCTTTGTGGCATTTTTCGTTTTTTTACTGTTATTCGCTTGGCAGCAAAAGAAACACACACACACATTCTTGTTAAAAATATTTTTTCCCCCTTGCATACTTGCTGCGTGAGGAAAGTCGAGTGGGGGACGGAGCGGTTTGGGGAAAATCTCACACAGAGATTAGGTTACAAGGGACAGCTGAATGTATAAATCCACTCCCCAAAGAGGGTCATTAGGAATAGTTCTGGCAGAAGTTTCTCTCCCCCCCCCACCCTCAGTTCATCTCCTCCCCTCCTGCCCCAGTCGCTCCAACATAATGCTTTTTGTTCAGTTGGGGGGGGTTGGAGGGGACATACGGAACAGAATAGGAGCCTGCTGCCTTTGAAACATGGGCTATCCCTTAGAACCCCCACTCTCCTCACAGCTCATCTTGGAGGAATAATTGTTTAACTTTTCTCCATTGCTGGAAGACACAACAATCCCCAATGTGGTATGGAAATAAATTGGGGGAGTGGGCAGGTGGACCGGTTAGCCCCAGAGAAATCCAGGATGCAAATCAGAGAATCATAGCATTGGAAAGAGTCCTGAGGCTCATCTAGTCCAGCTGAAGAATCCCTGACTAAGGGCCCTCCAACCTTTGCTTGAAAATCGTCAAGGAAGGAGATTCCACCACCTTCCCAGGTAGTCCATTCCACTCTCAAACAGCTTTACAAAATCATAGAATTTTAGAAATCATTCCAATGTTGGTCTCTGCTTATTGTCCAAGGACAGTGGCCGTCAGGGAACAAATAAATAATAATAACAAATTTTATTTATACCCCGCCCTCCCACCCACAAAATCACAGTAAAAACATAATGGAGGGGGTGGGGAGAACCAATTTAAAATACAGGTTAAAATGCAATTTAAAATGCAGCCTCATTTTAAAAGTATCCAATAGATCAAGACCATAAGGGGAGGGAAACATAAGGGTCAGACTGAGTCCAAACCAAAGGCCAGGCGGAACAGCTGTGTCTTGCAGGCCCTGTGGAAAGATGTCAGGTCCAGCAGGGCCCTAGTCTCTTGTAACAGAGCATTCCACCAAGTCAGGGACAGTACTGAAAAGGCCCTGGCCTTAGTTAAGACCAATCTAACCACCATGCGACCTGGGACCTCCAAAATGTTGTCATTTGTGGACCTTAAGGTCCTCTGCGGGGCATACCAGAAGAGGTATGAATCAGATTCAGTGTTGGCTCAGATGCATTGCTGTTGTTTGCTGCAACATCGTTGATTTATTTACCCCTTTTAACCTGTTATTCAAGCAAGAAGAGAGGACGTGGCTAAGGGCAGTCTTCACCAACAAGGTGCCCTATGCATGTTTTGGGACTACAACTCCCATAAGGCTCATGTGAGCAGAGCTGAGTGGGAGTTTAGGAGAGTTTCAGCGCCTCTAATACTGGCCTCAGCTTTGAGGGTGGACTTTTTTTTAATGACCTTTGAATTCTAATCCGGCTCAGAATTTATCCTGAGCCGGAGAAGAATTCCTCTATTCCATCCCATGAAATTTTTGGGCTCCTATCAGATCCAGCTCACATGTGCGTTTCCTATTTTTGCTTTAGGCCAGCGTTCCCTTAAGGGAGAGTCTTCCAGATTCTAAATTGTAGTGGTGGGCAGGGCCAGAGACAAAAGTGGGTGGTTCCATGGATGAAACTCTTACTTTCCTACGGGGTGCTACATTTCAACCACTCATTGAACAGGGCCAATGAGAGGTGTGGCCAATGGGAAGGGGCGTGGTCTTGTAAGACTGTTGACATCAGGCAGGCTCCTTCACTGTACTCTTTTCAGCCCCTGCTAAAACCTTCTTTGTCCAGACAAACCTGCCCAGATATGCACAATGTTGACATATGTTTGAATCTGTTTTTAGCTTATCATTGATTTTAATTTTTTTTAAAGTATTTAAATAAGTGTTTTTTGTGATACTTTCATGGTGTTATTCTTCTTGTAAACTACCTGGCCTCAACTAGAGCCAGGGCTTTTTCGGCCGTGGCTCCGATCTGGTGGAACACTCTGTCACAAGAGACCAGGGCCCTGCGGGACTTGACATCTTTCCGCAGGGCCTGCAAGACAGAGCTGTTCCACCAGGCCTTTGGCCAGGGCACAGCCTGACTCCTCCCTCGGCAATCTTCGCGGAGCTCTGGCCCAATGGTTGCCAGTGGCTTGAATTAATTAATTTTATAATGAATGATTTTAGAGTGTTGTTTGTGCTGTACTTTTGTACTTTTGTACTGTTTTATTGTTGTTAGCCGCCCTGAGCCCGGCTTCGGCTGGGGAGGGCGGGATATAAATAAAAATTTTTATTATTATTATTATTATTATTATTATTATTATTATTATTATTACTTTGAGGTTTCTGTACAGCCATGTGACATATAATGTTTTTGAAATAAAATAG